GCATAGACATATCACTATTGCCAGAAATTATTTTGAAAAGCCATATACAGAGGCCCCCCTTACCTATGGTTTTGCTTTTCGAGGTTGCAGTACCCTCAATTAAAAATCATTACACGAACATTCCAGAAATAATTAATGTTTCAAATTGTGTGCTGTTCTGAATAGCATGATGAAATCTCAACTCCCAACACAGTCCCACCCAGGATGTGACCCAGCCCCTTGTCCACAGTGTATGTGCTCCCCACCCCTCGTCGCTTAGTAGCCTTCTAGGTCACCAGATGGACTGTTGTGGTGTCCCAGTGCTTGCGTTCAAGTCACCCTCGTTTTTAATAATGGCCCCAAAGTGCAAGAGCAGTGATGACAGTAATTTGGATATGCCAAAGGGAAGCAATAAAGTGCTTCCATTTAAGTGAAAAGATACGTACAGATAGGAGAGAACAGTACACCTGCTGTTCCATACAATCTACCTTTCAGGCATCCACGGGGGTCTTGAAACATACCCCCACAGGTATGGGCGGTACTACTGTATGCCTATAAGCATGGTGAATGTAGAACTCGGAGCACAATTCCTGGGTATCTAGGCCAGCAACGAGTTGGTAGTGGTGGCTTCCACAGCCTCTGATGGAGGTAGGAAGACTATCCCAGAGCTCTCCCATTTCCCCCCTCATCTTCCCCGCAGCAATACAGCAAATAACAGGGGCTTTCTGCTGGTGCGCTTGTACCTAAACAGCAATACTGTTTGGACCAGTCCAGTTATTATACTAAAAACATTTTAAAATATATACCATGACATTAACAACAACAACAAAAAAGTATGACTTAAGTGAGGGAGGGGGGAAGAGGGGAAAGAAAGACCACACCAGGGCAGAATTCTTCTGAGTGAATATCCTGTAATCTACTGCCAGACCAAAACAAATTTTTATGGAACAATATGACTACTCAAGTAGCCACTTTTATGACAATAAACACCCAAAACCAAAAAATCCTTTTGTAACACAATTACCGAGAATATATAGAGAAAGTAACCATTTAATCCACAGCATGTGTTCCCCACCACAGAACTCAAAAGCTGACATCAGATGGGGTGTGGCTGGTCTGGGCCCTGGAAATGAATTCTGGCCAGCTGAAGTCAGACAGTCCTCCGCCAGGCCTGGGACCTACAAACCACCAAGCAGGTCTCACAGAACCTACGGCCGTTGACCTTCTGGGCACAGGGCAAGGTCCATCTGTTTACATGCATTTTGATTCTGGGAGGGGTAGTTGTGGTGGATGAGTTCAGGCTGTGGTTACAGGGTGTTGCCAGTATTTAATTTTAATATTTTTACCCTAACATTTTGTACATACTTAAGACTGAAAACTACATAACTGGTAGACTGAAAAACAAATAAATAAGAATTTTAAAATGGAAAATAAACGTGTACTGGGCAAGATGTAGATATTTCCACTCTACTATCAAAATGTAAGTGATTTAGATAAGCTACTGAACAATTCCTATTTTAGGAATTGCTATTCCTAAACAATTGTAAACTTCCTATTTTAGGAAGTTACCAAAATTCCTATTTTAGGAATTGTTTACAAAAATGAAAGTTGTTTTCTAAAAGAAAAAGATAACCATGGTGTCCACTCTGAATGAAACTATTTGGGGATTTTTAGCTCTGATTCATTAATCAGTATGGAAGCACAATTTGGGAAACTTATCTAAAAAAAAAAAACTTCTCAAGTAAGTTTGTGCCATTTCTAGTTTTGTAGAATGAACTACTTTGTATTAATACATAAATCAACTACATCAAGATTTATGCATGTGACACTCTAGGATTGTTTCACAATATAAAGAAAATCATTTGACACCCTCATTTTAACGTGATTATTCTAATGTTAATTTGCATAAATATGAAATTCCACACTTTGCATTTTGTCCAATGGTGGAAATGTCCAGGACCTTTATATATTCAACTATTTAACAACATCACCTCACTGATAAGGTTACTCAATACTAGATTAACCAACACCAGCTTGAGTTCCAAATGCCCTCGGTTATAGAGCTGGAGGCCTAAGCTTAGAGACACATTATAAGTCTTTGAAGAGATTTTTAAAAATAAATTTAAAAAACCTATATCTAAGAGCAAATTATTTCATTAAGCTGCTTCTTGATGTGTCTAAAACTCACTCTGAGTCCATCCAAGTCCACGTTTACCCTTCACAAGAGGTGGGCACGTAATCCCTAAGGAACATACTGTATATATTTTTAAATGACCACAACACTGTCACTGTTACACGCTTGACGCGTGCTCTTAGGAATGACCACCAAGCATCCTTATTTGTCTTTCCCTCAGCTGGGGGAGAGTGCGCACACCAGGGTTTGCAGTCCCTTCCCTTTCTGTGCACACACAGGCTGCAGCTGTAGTAAACAACCACCAGCCAAGAGTTGCTAAGGTCAAGGTCTCAAGTGCTATCCCAGGACCAGTTTTCTCCCAAATGACAATCAGTGTTGAAAAGGGCTTGGTGGAGAAAAAAAAAAAATATTAAGAGCTCATTAGCACAAAAAGTTTCATTCAATAACTAGCAATACAAAGCATTCCAAAGTAAAGTTTAACTGACCGAAGGGTCCTTTAAATATGCATTAATAAATAACTGAAGCATTTCACAAATAAACAGAAACTCCTCAAGAATGTTTTGTTTACCAGGCACAGCTATATAAGTTACACAGTTTTAGTTCACGAGTTATGAAAATTTTATGTGAAAACATTCCAAATTTTACCAGCTTAAGTATATTTCATAATTGTTAGGAATCAGAAGGTAGAATAATAAACCTCTTTCCTAAATACATTACAAATTTCTGCCAATTCTTATATCCTCACATTGCTCGCTCCCCAACTCAAAGCAGCTTTTAATACACTCCTAGTAGTCTCCAGACTCAGCAGGCTGCAGCGATAAAGAATAACTTATGCAACCGAAATGTTTGCCCTTCAACATCCCATTTCTACTCAGCTTCTACAGTGAAACATTTTCTAGCCTAAAAGGACACCCCTTTATCACAACCAATTCCTATGTGATTTTTTTCAAAATGTAAACAACATCTGAATGAGGTTTGCACAAAAAAAAATATTGGGGGGGGCGGGGGCAAAGGGGGAGGCGTTACTGTTTTTATTAAATGCCAATTCCAAAGAGCATTTCTTAGAAGATGGTATACACCCACTCTCCAAAGTGACCACTCCTATCCTCATCACAAGCCGCTGCCTGTAAAAAGCCACCAAATTTATTTCAAAGCATTTACTCATCTAAACAACTCTATCCTCCAGTAAGAAAAGGGCATGGAGGCGACTAGGTGGATTTGCAGAATGACGTGTGTTTGATTGGCAGATGTCTACCGAAGCCACTAGATGCACATGCACTAAATGTAAATAGAGCTGCTCATCTCCCTGGTGTTACAGGGGAACAGAGAATACTAAAGCTGATTTAAAATAAAACATCCGAGTGCTCCGCGGAGAATTCTATTAGCCAGTGGAATTGCTTAAAACAATCCATATAGAACCATACTTAAACCATCTGTACAGTTAAATTAGAGAGCTGACAATATTAACCACACAAACTGTTTATCCAGATTACACATTCCGTCGTACTAATACCCTTTAACTCGACACAGTCAGCTTTCATCAACTGAATTAAGGCTATTACTATTAAAGTATGCAAAACTCGAAACGCAGGGTGAAGGGGGCTGGGAAGCTGCAGGGCATGTAACAAAGGAATTGGTACTTTTTCCCAAGCATTTGCCTCAAATACTCGTCGAAACAGAACTGTTGAGTGCACCCCACCCTTTTCCCCAAAGATAAAAGTTTTCAAAGTTCTAACAGGCGGTTCTCTAACCAACAAAAACAGGATTGCTTCTCCCTGTAGGGGAGCATCTAACAAGAACACCAACTAATGTCGCTGAGGTCAAGTCCGAGTCCTCGGAGCGAGCTACTAAGGCAAGAAGTGGCTCCTAGGCCGGCTAGGCGGGCTTCCGGGCCAGGGTGGACGTGCAAAGTTGCCCCTTGTCAACTCCGGCCGGGTCCCCCGTAATAGAAAATAACAGCCACGGGGCAGCCCCTGGCTACTTCCACGGACGAGACACTGTAGTAAGTGACAGTTACAGATCATTACGACCAGAGACAATAATGAATGTAGCACCAGGACCACTATTCATGCCAGCAGTGTCATCTCCGCCTTAACCCCTTCCCCTCCACTCTCCCCAGCGCACACCCACAGCCCACACGGTGCCGCAGCTATCCACCGAACTCGCTCTATTCTTGGGGACAAACTACCAATACTTCCACGAGCCTCCCCCCTCCCCAATTCAGCCCTAGTGTTTTATTTCTCATCCTTGGCAACTGTCAGGCAAACACTGCAACCAACAATTCCACTAGGGATAGAAAAACATTTGCTTAATTCACGTTACTTTATAAGTTCTTTTAGAAAAAAAATATACTAGTGAGGGGGTCCTTCTTTCTTCTCTACGGATCCAACGGACGCTACTTGCTTTGCAATAGCATCGCCCTCCCTGGGCCCCCTCCCGCTTCCCAACACTTTCCCCCTTTAAGAACACAGACCAACCAAAATGATTTAACTTGAGCAGATGACAGAAGGAAAATAAAACATGTTAAGAGAATACGGTCTGATTTGGGATGGCAAAAAAAAAAAAGAGGAGGAGGGGGTTGTTTATTTTGATAAGAAACGGAATCGGCACAGACCTGAACAGAAGCTGCAGAGCAGGAGAAATTGTTTTCTTTCCCTCACACAGAGTCCCCCTCTCTCCCTTTCTCTCTCTCTCTCTCACACACACACACACACACACGCGCGGGCGCGCACACACACACTCACTCTCGCACACACACGGCGTCACCCGCGCACACTCACACGCACACTCGCACACGCACAGGCAGAGCCTCTCAGCTGCTCTCTGCAGTTCTCAGGAAATGAATGGGGGGCAACCCAGGGAACTGTTGTACTTGCAAATGACTTACCCGGATCACATGATGCGCTAAATGTAGGGTGGGCCGGTGGGTGGAGGCTGCCGAGACGCGAGCCCCGGTCTAGCGTGGGGAGCCTCGCCAGGCCCGCATCGAATTACCCCGGGGCCCAGCCGAGGGGGTTGCAAGACGCCGCTTCTCCTCCCTTGCAGCCCGCAGCTCAGGAAACCGGAGAGGCGCGGATGGGGGGGTTGTGGGGCGGAGTGAGGGGGGGGGGTGAAAACACCAAACCCCCAAACAAAAGAGCTCCAGGTCCTCCTCCCCAGAAACAAAGCCCCGCCGCTGCGGGCGAGCCCCGGGGTGGGGCCGAGGGCGGGGGCGGCGGCGGGGAGGGGCTCGCTCAGCAGGCGCTAAGTCGCTTTATTGCCATAAAATGGGGCCCCCGAGCCGCTCCGCCCGAGGATTAGGAGGCGGGCTTTGAGTGTGATGGTTGAAATCCCCTGTGGGAAACTAACCCCTCCCAGCTCGCAGAGGTAGAAGGCAACACCCACTGCCCGGCCCTCGCTCCGCTGCCCCGGCCGCCGGGCTGGGGGGTGGGTCCGCGGAGCCTCCACCCCGCCCCACCCCGCCCCACCCTTGCCCCCGCCCCCAGCCTCCGGCCTCCACCGCGCTTCCCTTTCACCTGCACCACCTTGCTGCGGCACCCAAAATAACCTACACATGGCCACTGAGCTTTGGGAGCCGCCGGCCCAGGGGGACCAGCGGGGCCTCGCAGCGGGAGGAAACCCCGGGTTTCAACTCGCCGGGTGCGGGGACTCGCACTGAGCCGCGAGAAAGTCCCCTCTTTTGTGTCACTGCGTGCAAGGCAGCGTTAGGAAGAGAATTCGGAGACAAATAAAGAGCGGAGCCCGGTCGCCCCCCACTCCGCCCCCTCCAGGTGGGGGCGTGCAGGGAGGGGCCCGGGAGCCCGAACTGTCCCCGCGGCTCAGCCGCCGGCTAACTTGGAAAGGTGTGGGCGGAGCCGGCTGGGGCGGCGGGGCCGAGGCTGCCGGGCTGGCGGCGCGGCCTCGCCCGGGGACCACCCCGGGCTTGTGGCTTCGCCAGCGCGGGGCAACAATGGGGTCCGGGTAGGGGCTGCCCGCAGGGGTGCGCGCAAGGGTGGGGCGGGCGGAGGACTGGGCGTGAAAGGAAGGGGAATCATTGTTTGGGTTCGAGAGCGTTAATCTTTGCGAGCGAAGCCGGGGCGTCCTCCCTCCCGGCGCTTCACCTTGGAGGGATGAATGGGGGCGAGGTTGAGCCGCTTGCCTCTCTTCGGAGTCCTGGGAGTAGGGGTGCCCACTCGCGCTAGTTATTTAGGAAAGCTGGCGAACTTGCAGGAGGAGAGGGAAGCAGGAGCTGCAGACCCCTGCTGAGACCGTGGGGGTTGTGGGGGCAGCGGCGGAGTGGAGTCTAGTCCCTCCCCCCTGCGCCCCAGAAGGGTGCCCAGAGATTTGGGCGGCCCGGAGCCGAGTCCTTGACACCTTCGCCAGCGGCCCCTCCCGCCCTGCCTCTGAGCCCAGGGGAGCGATCCACGGGATTCTGGGGCAGCGGATAGGAGGTAGCGGCCCGGCGGTCCCCTCGGCTGCCCGGAGGGCGCGGGGTCGGCGGCTCGCCGTGGGTAGGCGGGGAGGAGACAGGGCGGAGACGGACGTGTGGGTGGGGGGAGTGGGCTGAGCGTGCGCGGCGGTCCTCGCTTGAGATTCGTGCGGCAGTTTCTTGCAAACCTAGGTGAGCGCGCTAGGGCTCCTAGGCGGGCCAAACACCCCTGCTCGGTTCCCCTGAGCCCGCCCAGCGTGGGAAGCCGCCCAGTTGATGGGAAGGCCGCTCAGGGAAAGTTTATGTTGAGGGAGAAAGATCTGCAATAATGTAACCTGTAGTGGGATGAGAAGAGAAACAAGGGAGAGGCCGAGAAGCAGGAAATGAGAGCGAAGGATCGAATTCTAGCCAGGAAAAAGCCGCATGCTACATTTTGTGTGGCATTTCCCCAGCACTTCTAAAGGCCGTGTGTGCGTTTTCAATAAAAACAAAGGCAGCCTGGAGCTTTCTCTGCCTCCTGCCACATTCTGCATGTGAGGAAGGGGAGAAAGGTGGTCCGGCTTGGAGGGTGATTCCACAGCTCACTTCTAGTCCTGCCCGTTGAGTCAGTTGGTCCGTGTCTTAAATAAAACAGAATCGGAAGAAGGTGTCTCCGACCTGATCCTAGGGTTTCAAAGAACAGATGACAGAAGTGTGCAAGTGCTGAAAACTGTGGACCACTCCTTAAGCGAAGTAGCACTGGAGGAAAGAACACAGCGGGAGCGGAAAGGCAACGGAAGCCCACACTGAAGACGTGGGTGCGGCAAGAGAATAAGAAACTGGGGAGAAAAGTGGAACGTGGAGGCCAGGGGGGTGTGTCGCTGGGGTGCGGTGAGGGGGGGAGCAGCTCGGAACCGCACCCCTTAGGCTGACCCTGGGCACCGGGTCAACAGTCCTTTAAGCTCCACCACATCAGGTAGAAACAACGTGAAACGGCAAGTTTAAAAACGGTGGAATATCAACAAATGCACAATATTGAAACGAAAAACTTGCCTCTACTAGAAACACTGTACTGCTTCCCTCTAGGTGGGGCAAGGAGAGGCAGGGAGTAACGGAAGTGAGTTTAACTGGAAGAGTGGAAGGATGCTGTAAGAAATTATGTCATTGTGGCAGGTCTTGTACTAACAGCTCTTTCCCAGAGAGGGCTGAGTGGCGGACAGGCCATAAATATATTCTACAGCAAGGGCTTCTCTGCACGTGGAAAAACATTCCCAATTGCGCTCCCTGCCTATGGCAGCAGCCACAGGCATGTAAATAGAATGATGAAAGAGAAAATAAAAGTAAAAAAAAAATCCATTCCAGAGGGCTAGGAAATTAGGGGGTAGGTCAAAGTTAATATGTAGGATCTGAATAATGTGGTTAAAAGAGGAAAATGCATCAGTATCAGAAAAAAAAAACCACTTGTGGATGTTTAAAAAATGTAACTGTTAAATTAAGGCAACTGTCCAGTGAGAAGAATAGGAGAAAGAAGAAAGATACATATTTCAAAGTGAGAATCACTTCATTGTGTCAACGGGCGGTGGGTGTGGACGGGCAAAAACAATGAAAGGATAAAGCATGTGTGTATGGGGAGTTGGTGCACTGGAGGAAATTGGGTGTGGTGTGGTGGGCGGTTGTGCACAGGCACGCATTTCCAATTCAGTTCATATAATTCTCTCTCTAGAACTCGGATTTCAACAAGCTCAAGTGTGAACAGAAGGGGAGAAGGTAGGAAAAGTACACAAATACCCTGGCAAAAATAAGTGCATATCTTTGTGTTTACTTCTTTCTCCTCTCTTTGCGTGTATGTGCAGGCATGTGAAAAAATCAGAAATTGGCAGCTATTTTACCAAGAATATGTCATTCTAACCACATAAAAATGTGTTGAAATTACAGAATCAAAATTTTAGGGTTGAAAGTAGCTGTTGGGTCCAATTTTATCTCATACTTCCCTTCTACTTAAAACCAAGTTGATTTGGGTTACAGATGACCAGTTTCATTACATTATATACTTCATTTACTTAATCATTATTATTGCAAATACCAAAAAATGAATTAGCAAAGAGGACAAAGGTTGGTATTCTGAGTTTCTTGCAAATAGTACATTTATTGGACTTCTTTTACCTAACATAATGGTAAGAAAAGGGAAGAGCATATACAAGTACCCCCAAAGCAAATGTCAAATCCAGTATAAATGATATAGCAAAACTTTAAAACTAGCCACTTTAAGTGTTAATGTAATAGTAAATATTACTAAAAAGTTTTTTTGCCAGATCTTTGTATACTTTACCAGTGTTCATACTCTTACTGAAAAATTAGTGTTGGTGGTAGAAACATCAGTTACAGTATTAAAGAGTTATTACCTGTACCACACCCTGATTTCTCTAAGATAAAGACTCTCTTCAATATCTGTACATTTAACGTTCTTCAGCCTTTGGGTTAGTGATATTTAAAATGGCATGGATTCTTTAACACTACTGTAGTTCTGGGCCGGGGCAGGGGATGGAGCCCATTTTCAGAAATAAAAGCTGTGTTGAAAGATTAGAATTGACTAGAAGTGAATATATTGAATAAAAGTGATTCCCAGAGCTCTAAATAAATTTAAAAACATAATCCTGATTTATTTTCCTAGGGCCAGATATAAGTATGTACTACTAGCTTTTCAGCGTCTATTTTTTTTTTCATGTGTCATAATTTGGCAATAATGTGCAGCAAAGGGGAATTTTCCTATTTAAATATAAGAAAGGCATGTAAAAGCTTTACTACAAATGCTAACAGCTGGTGATATTACATGATTACATGGTAAACAACATGTTTTGATCTGAATGGAGAGCTGTCTGGAAATTAGGGGAAGATGATATTTCATAACTTTGTTTCATTGCAGTCAATACAGTTTTTGATCCTTCTAGCTTAAATATCTTCATCACATCCACACATGTCTCTTTTCCAAGTTCCTGCATAGTCACTTTCATTCAAGTCTCCTGAATCCACTACCGCATCTCCTCCCCAGTGCTGAGCGCTGAGTCACCTGGCCCCTCCTCTCACATTTATTCCACCACTCCACAGCAAAACTTCAATTATAGCATACCCACATTTAAAAGGGCACAAGTTAGTTTTAGTACAATACTGTGCCATTAAGGGACCCACTCGGATTTGCGTATCTCATACTTCCCCTTACAGCCCACGTAGACACCTGGCCATGTCCCATCCATCCTGGGTGCTTTTATTCGATCGTCCTCTTCCATTTCCTCCTATGGAGTCTGCCCAATACGATTCCATGATACTCAGACATATGTATACATATTCCATCCCCTCACCAAAAAATATCTTTCCCTTCTCAGAGCTTCTTTTCCTATAATGGAAAGAGTGCCTGGCCCTGGCTGGCATAGCTCAGTGGATTGAGCGCGAGCTGCGAACCAAAGTGTCCCAGGTTCGATTCCCAGCCAGGGTACATGCCTGGGTTGCAGGCCATAACCCCCAGCAACCGCACATTGATGTCTCTCTCTCTCTCTCTCTCTCTCTCTCTCTCTATCTCTATCTCTATCTCTCTCCCTTCCCTCTCTAAAAATAAATAAATAAAATTAAAAAAAAAAAGAAAGAGTGCCTAAACCACTGACCACCTGGTT